TGGTGAGTGCGGAGCAAATGGAAGCTCAAGCCGTAATGCACTGATCGCGCCTCAAAAGGGGCAGGCATTTTTGTTCAACATATGCCTGACCGAAAGAATAGCACGGCAGGCACAGATACGTCGGCATGAATGCGTGCGTGCACACGGCAACATTGACTTGCCCCCGGCGGGGCAAGGGTAGGTAGTGAGTAATGACCGACCATATCAACAGAAAGCAATTTGCTGCCGCTATTCGATGTCACCCACAGGCAACGGTGGTGTCAGAACCTGCGGGGCTGGGTGCACCAATGCACCTTGTAGTGGGTAGTCAGAATTCGGAGGCATTGAAAACTGCTGTCCGTTGGTTACGTGGTATGTCGAATGTTCCCCACGGCACGCCCGCGCAGCAGCTGGGGCGTCTCGTCCCCTCAGCGGTAGCAACAGCTGCTCTGCCAACAGTGATCCGATGAACAAGTACCATCCCGACTGATAAATCGTCTTCCGGATGATCAGCTACGCTATCAAGTCTGCTCTTGAGACGCGGGGTGAATTCGGAACTACCCCCGAGGTTTCTGATACCTGTGGCCATGATTTCTAACGAACTGCTCTGGCCAAATTGCCAAGCGCAACGTCTGCGCAACTCGCGAACTGTGACATTACAATGATTCCCATGCGGTATGGCCCGCGTAGCGGATGGGCCATCTCCTCCGCCCAGCAGTAACAACCGCTGCTCTTTCAACACTGATACGACGAACATGTACGGTCCTGAACGACAACTGGGGTTAGGATGATGATGATGATGGGCGCGGCATAATTGCTGCACTAGCCCATATGTTGTAGTCTTTTGGACGCTGAGTCGACTGGTTTTGGTCCGAAAAGGCTGCGATGCAGCGTTCCTCCTTTATTCCCAATCGAACATGGTTGAACAAGCGGTCAAGTGCTCCTGCGTACACCAGTCACCTGGTCACCGTGCCTGCAGGGTACAACTTACTAGCCTGTTTGACCTTTTTTGGGTGCAGTCCTGTCACTCGAGTTGAACTCGAGTTGAACCTTGGTGTGAAAGTTGTCGCCTGCTGGCGTGGTGACCAGGTGATTTGGGCAACCAGGAGCACGTGACCGCTTGTTCAACCACGTTCGATTGGGAATAAAGGAGGAACGCTGCATCGCAGCATTTTCGGACCAAAACCAGTCGACTCAGCGTCCAAAAGACTACAACATAATTATGGGCCAATCGCCGTCATCCGTGCTTTTATAAGAACGAAATGGCGCTTTTAGTGACATTTTGCATACAAATCCCCATCTAGTAGGGCGCAGTCACCCAGTTTCGGTGGAAGTGCGCGAGTTCGATTGGGATTCAAGTAGGAAGGGAGCGTCTCAGCTTTCTCGGATCAAGACCATTCGACTGAGCACCCCGAAGACTACAACTGGTGAAATTTTGATTTTTGCCTCAACTTCCCCTTTAAGCCTAAAGTCAAATTTTCACCATTTGTAGTCTTCGGGGTGCTGAGTCGAATGGTCTTTTGTTCGAGGAAGCCGAGACACTCCCTTCCTCCTTTTTTTCCCAATCGAACTCGCGCACTTCCACCGAAACTGGGTGACGGTGCCCTACTAGATGGGGATTTACATACAGAATGCCACTAAAAGCGCCATTTCGTTCTTGTACAAGCACAGATGACCGCGGTTGGCCCATATGTTGTAATCTTTCGGACACTGAGTCGACTGGTTTTGATCCGAGAAAGCTGCAATGCGGGCAGTTCGGCCAGTATTCCCAATCAAACATAGTTGAATAAGCGGTCACGTGCTCTTGCGTACACAAGTCACCTGGTCACCGTGCCTGCAGGGTACAACTTACAGCCTATTTGGGCGTGTACCTGTCACTCGAGTTGAACCGTGTTGAACCTTGGTGTGAACAGGCGAAGCGCCAGCACCGAAAAAGAGCCCTAAAAGTTGCACTTTTATTTTCCAAATCCGACCCCAGGCCCGGGAAATTTGAAACTCAGCTCAATATCGCCAAAAAGAGACTATTTTATCCCTTGCTCACAAGAGCTTCCCTGGTGGTATCGTCTTGTTCCGAGGCAATGTTTGGGAAGGTGCGGGCATTAGCTGCCCTAAGTTTCGCGGAAAGCTCCAAGCGACATCATTTTCCTCGCTTTCTCGCCAGAGTTTTCAAGACCGACGCAACTCGTCGTCAAAAAGTACTCAGCGTGGATTTCGTGCCGAATTCCGCCCCAAACAATTTAGGCTGACCTCTCGCCACCAATCGAACCCACTGATATGTATCTACCTATACACGAGCAATGGTTTGAGCCCAAAGAAGGACAACTTCACAACGAGCACACTTTCTGAGGGTAATATTTTCTATGTATATCAGTATTAGAACACCATCAAGACGACAATTTGACCAGCAGAAAGACATAAAGTTGCACTACAAATACAGCAGCTGTATAAACATTAATAATTGAACAGAAAACTATGTAACTGGATCCCACCAAAAACAGTAAAGTATCCCAAATAGTATGCGCATACACATATACATGAAGGAAGGCTATGTTGCCACCATACATTGGCTACGCACACGGACATAATTCTGGAGAGCTGAGCATCAGCGTGCGCACACACACACCCCCACACACACATCTGCATGCACGCGCGCACACCCACACATGCGCATGCACACGCGCGCGCGCGCGCGCGCACACACACACACACACACACAAACATATACACATGCACGTGCGCACACACACCTGCCCTGTGCTGTCGAGCCACTGCCACAAGGGTTGCGTGGGCCTCGAAGGCACCGGAGAGAGAATAGGAGAACGCAGTCCCATAGATACACACACACGCGCACACACACACACACATGTACACAACACGTGCAAGTACACACGTGGCAGCTTACTACAAGAGAATCAGACAAGTTCACATGTGGGCATGAACTGTATTCACAATTGGTCATACTGTCTTGGGCATATGAGGGAGGAGCAGGAGAGTGAGTACGTGACTCAGACACAATGCGCTTCGACATGCTAGCACATGCACCGGTTTCGGACAGTGGCAGAACGTGACGGAAAGAGAGAGAGAGAGAGAGAGAGAGAGAGAGAGAGAGAGAGAGAGCACCAGCGTTCCAGCTCAAGCTCCAAATTTCTAGTTGCTTCTCCTGGTCACAGTAAACACAGAATAGGGCTCAGGCAATGCCGAGGAAGTGCTTGTACTTGGTGCAGTGTCGTGAGCAGGATAAACTTCCAACATCTCTACACAGTGTAGCTCTTCAGGCGCACACGAAGACTCAGAAACCGGAATATACTTTACATGATGATTGAAAGTCCAGCAGCACAACAAAACTTCCAAGGACTGGTTTGGCACTAGCTTCCGTCTCATTGGCATGTGCCCAGCCAGTTTTGGAAAGAAAGAGTAGACGTTCATTCCTCGTTCAACCTGCAATGAACTGGAGACAACACAAACCAACAAGACGACGATGGTTGTCATCAGCTCATGTGTTCACCACCGCAGTGCTACCATTCACTTTCCTGCTCCAAATGCACTACCAGGCTGCATGGTACTACTGTCGTGGACATGGAAATCAGGTCGCACGTATAGCGGCCCCAGGGCGCCGGCCATGCAGCCGTAGCACGGTTTATCATGCACTGCTGATGGTCGCATTGGATCAACATGTGCACTGCATGCAACGTTCTGTACGCGCTGAGGGCGCCGGCCCCGGTCAATCAACTGGATTTCCATGTCCGCGACAGTACGATGTGTCGATAATAGTGTCGATAATAGACCGTGATTGCATTTTCCAATGATTAGGACTGGTATTATTTCTATTATTCACACTTAGAAAGAAAACAAGGGGCAAAATTTGATATGGATTATGTGGTTGTTGGCTATGTCACCATTTGAAAGAGGGTTGCAACCGTGATAGCACTGTAACATGAGTTTAAACCTACGTATTGCATGGTATACTCAACAGTTGGCGAGCAGAGAATTTCGTGCCGAATTCCGCCCCAAGGTTGTGCACAGCAAACAACTTGATATATCATTAGCCCTACCCTTGTGCTATACGTACCCGTTGTGCCGATCGAGCCTGAGCCCTCTACTCGACTCCACGGTCCAATGACATTCGGTCATCATGGCCAAATTCAAGTCACTCAAGTGTTGAGAAGTGTCTACGTCGTCGCACACGGCATGTGTCGACATACAAAAATATGTACACGATAGAGAAAGAACAACTGAAGAGCAACCAACTGGTTTCAGCATTCTCCTTCAAAGGATAGGTCGGTGGCAGAGGACCAAAGCCGGACAATAGTTGGAAATTCTCAGCGTTGAATTTCTACAGGCTGTAGATACCTGGAAAAGCTCGATTTCCCGCCACGGAAAATAAAAAAGTCTTGATTTGGGGTGCTGGCGCTTCGGCTGTGAAAGTTGTAACCTGCAGGTACGGTGACCAGGTCACTCGTGCACGCATGAGCACGTGACCCCTTACTCAAGCCAGTCAACTCAGCGTCCGAAAGACAACATCATATGGGCCAATCGCGGTCATCTGTGCTTTTATAAGAACGAAATGGCGCTTTTAGTGACATTTTGCATACAAATCCCCATCTAGTGGGGCGCAGTCACCCAGTTTCGGTGGAAGTGCGCGAGTTCGATTGGGAAAAAAAGGAGGAAGGGAGCGTCTCAGGTTCCTCGGAACAAGACCATTCGACTGAGCACCCCGAAGACTACAAATGGTGCAAATTTGATTTTAGGCTTAACTTCCCCTTAAATTGCGGCTTATGTTCGGGGAAAAACGATACAAACTATTTGAGAAGAGAGAGAGAGAGAGAGAGAGAGAGAGAGAGAGAGAGAGAGAGAGAGAGAGAGAGAGAGAGAGAGAGAGAGAGAGAGAGGAGAGAGAGAGAGGAGAGAGAGAGAGGAGAGAGAGAGGAGAGAGAGAGAGAGAGAGAGAGAGAGAGAGAGAAAAAGAGAGTGTTTCACACATATGTGTGATTTTTCCTGTTTTTTTCTGATTCTCTATGAAGGAGGCCAAACAGCAGCAGCAAGCAGGTATGTGACAAATCAATTCTCAAACTTCTTCCCCTCAAATTGCGTTAAGTTTGAGTTCAATGGCATGACTTTATTTCAAACAAGTTTTTTTGCAGGTTCAGTTGCATGTATAGCATGCTTTGTCCTGTATTTTATTTCTGTAAGATATGTTTATACTCGACCCGACGCTAACCGAGCATCATTATCACCACCAACACAATCACCATCACCATTACCAACACCATCACCAACACCACCACCAACACCATCACCAACACTACCACCAACACCACCATCACCATCACCACCACCACCATCAACACCACCATCACCAACACCATCACCACCACCACCACCATCACCACCATCACCTCACCATCGCCACCACTACTGCCACAAGCATGGTTACAGGTTGTTAAGAGAGCATGTCTGAGAAAACCAGAAAAGCTGGGCTGGGCCATCTCTCCGACTTGCTCAAATTTTCTGCAACAACCATGCGAAAGGGCTCGTTGCATAACTTACGGACACCTTGGAACTGGGGACCACCTCGACATGGGCCCAAAATACGACTGAATTTTGGGTCCAAAAATGAGCATTTGTACAGCATACACAATGGAGCTAGGAACAAACCACCACCAGGCCAACTTTACCTCACCTGAATAGTCTTCACATCACCACATAGAGCCATGGCTACATCCAGGAAAGCAATGGCCATCACCTCCAAATATCACTAAATTGCATAGCTAAAATAGCCACATTTCAAGGGCCATAGGGGAACCATTTACGGCATCTATTTTCCTGAAGGACAGTGGACTATCTCCACTACCAACCAGGACATGTCTCGTAAAAAGTGTTCCACGTTTTCTGGAAATAGACAAATTTGAATATTTTCACTTCACCACATTGCAACATTGCCAATTTCCTACCCGACGACGGAAAGCGCTTTCTCAAGCTCCAACACCAGGCACCACTAGCAGCAAAGCTCTGCAAAAAATATTGCACAAATCTTGATCAAATGCGTCGATCTGCAATGCCACGCGGTGGTCGGCGCACGGCCAGTTTCAGGACGCAAAATATCGTGCTTTGATCGCAGAAATCGAGATTTGTGCAATATTTTTTGCACTTCTGCAGAGCTTTGCTGCTAGTGAAATTCGAGTCATTCAGGGAAGGAAGTGCTTGTTGTTTGGTGTGACAAGGGCTGTCAGTTCAAATTTCTTGTCAGACTCGGTAGAGGTGACTACGCTGCAGTGTTTGGCGTGCTGGCGTCTGGAGCGGTGCCTAGTGTTGGAGCTCGAGGAGCTTTCCGTCGTCGGGTAGGAAATTGGCAATGTTGCAATGTGGTGAAGTGATCATATTCAAATTTGTTTATTTCCAGAAAACAAGGAACACTTTTTACGAGACTTGTCCTGGGTGGTAGTGGAGATAGTCCACTGTCCTGCAGTGCATGGTTCAGGAAAATAGACGCCGTAAATGGTTCCCCCTATGGCCATTGAAATGTGGCTATTTTAGCGATGCAATTTAGTGATATTTAGAGGTGATGGCAATTGCTTTCCTGGATGTAGCCATGGCTCTATGTGGTGGTGATGTGAAAACTACTCAGGTGAGGTAAACTTGGCCTGATGGTGGTTTGTTCTTAGCTCCATTGTGTACGCTGTACCAGTGCTCATTTTTGGACCCAAAATTCAGTCGTATTTTGGGCCATGTCGAGGCGGTCCCCAGCTCCAAGGTGTCCGTAAGTTATGCAACGAGCCCTTTCGCATGGTTGTTGTAGACCCCAAAGGAATCCTACTTGTAAAATTTGAGCGAAATCGGAGCCAAGCTTTTCTGGTTTTCTCAGACATGCTCTCTTAAACTGAGCAAGAAGTTGCAAAGTATTTTGTTGTGTGAGTCATATACTTGTAAGTATAATTTGAATGTTTTGTTCAATTTGTATACACCTTGTAGGAATGGAGCCCCTGTTGATTGTTCCAGAGCGTAAACTCAGCGTACCCATCATACGCATCATTCTGCTTGGCGAGACTGATGTTGGCAAGACATCGTTGGCACTCTCACTGTCCAAAAAGAAGATAGAAAGACGTGAGAACAACACCAGTACAATGGGGGTGGATATGAGCACGGTTGTCATCGGTGATGATAGTAACGACGTCCAAGAAGTGATAACCGGTACAGGCAGTGACGAAGCGCTAATTCGTCAGGTGGCAACCTTGATTCGTCAAGGTAGCAGACTGCAGCCAGAATCCTGTAGTTCACCAAACAGTTGCCCATCCACACTCTCACCCAGCACTGCCAGCAGCAACAACAGCAACAACAGCAACAGCAGCTCAGTGCATGTACACGGAGACGTACTGGAAGCAATCACCTCTAGAGTAACATCAGAGCAGTATGTACGTGATCTGAGTCATCTCATTGCCAACAACTCTATGAAGGTGCTCAGAATCTGGGATACAGCCGGACAAGACTGCTTCCGTGTCCTGCATCACATGACGTTTGGTGCTGAACGTACCTCGTACGTTATTGTCTATAATGCCAAGCGCTCTATCAAAGAAGTAGCAGATGAGAGTAATGTAAGTTTGCCATGACTAAAATAATGATTTTTTATGAATTTAATGCTGGGGGGAGGGGGGGGGGAGGGAAGGAAGTTTGTATTTCTATTTAATTGTGTCATTCTCCATGGACAGTATTTTTAAACGTTTGTCAGTTTGATGCTGAGCACCAGGAGTGCAGAAACTGCCGAGTATTCAACTTTGCAGATTGGTTCAATCACCTGGCACTGTCCACATTTACTTAGCCATGAACTGACTTATCAGCTGAGACATTGCATCATTATTGATCTGCCACGGTTCCCAACTTCCCAATCCGATTTTCTCTTAGATTTCGGCTACAGTTTTAGGCGTGATGCTTCGCGCACAAGCATTGCTTTTGAACCTCCCATCACACACATGAAATCATTGCTCCTAAGCCTTAGGAAATCTCCAATCCAGTCAGCTAGATTTTCATTTCACAGTGTAATGGAGTCAGCATACCATGAAGGGCAAACATAGCTTGGAGATCAGAGTTGCACACACTTGGGCTGATGTAGTCTTGGTTGCATTGATTCATTTTCCTCACGTCATGCACCGCTCATTGAAATACTGATCTATATGCCGTGTTTTCATGGACCAGTATTGTTGATCAATTGCTTGGATTGGCAAGTGCAGATCTGCATCATCGCCTATTGACTTCTTCCTGGTGAACCATGGCCATTTTGTAGTTGTTGTATACGCATTTCTTCAACCTATTCACATTGTCCTTTGGTTTTGTCGTTGCTGCGTGTGGTGCGTGTGTTTGTTCTTCATGCTGATTTCAGGTTCGTGTGCACGGTGAACACCGTCCATACGCTGGCGCTCTCCCTGGCCAACCGAGCTTGGCATACGTGCATGATGCCCTTGAAACTATTCACAACAACTTGCCGGATGGATGCAGTTGTCGTGTGTTTCTTGCCGGTTGTCACATTGATGAGCGCCAGACCCATTTTGCTGCTGCTGCTGCTGCTGCTGATGTTACACGTTCAGCAACTTTCAATGCTGAGCTTGATAAGGAACGAGACGATATCATTCAGAGCATCGCCTGTCAACCATTCAAGCACCTGCTGAAAAAGGAAGACATCTTCTTCATTGACAACACCGTCTCAGGGCAAGAAGGCGTTGCGGAGGACAATCAGCTGATTGCTTTGCGCCAAGAACTCTGCATGCAGAGTCAGCAACAAGATTCCATTCCCATGTCTCGTCTCCTGGAAACGCTGTCAATCATGGAACTCTCTGTGCATCCGGATCTGCGTGCTCCGTGGATACCACGCCATAAAGTGGAGGAAATGCTGCGTCGTGTGAACCCAAATCCAGCCGAATCCGTTGATGACATGCTGGCTTTTCAACATTCGTCTGGCACTGCCCTGTACTATCCAGACAGTGAACAACTGCGAGAGAACATTGTCATCAAAGTTACCGATGTCATGAAGCTTTCCGCCGCTCTCCTTCAGCCATGTGTCACCAGGAATGACCTCGGAGATGAGCATGTATCGCTTGATGATATTCAGCGCTTGCACCGAGGTCTTCTGTCTGACAAAGTGGCGTTGTGTTTGTGGAAGAAGTTCTGTCCACACCTCCATCCGCTCATGCTGCACAGAGAGAGTCGCAACTTCTATTTTCGTCTGATGGCTAGGTTGGACATTCTGTGCCAAGCTGGTAAGGTGCACTCACATGAAGAAGATGGTGATGTTGGCGATGCCCTCTTTTTCATGCCAGCAGCTGCTGCAGCTGAGAAGCTTTCCAGCCCTCGTGGAGCGACTTCCGAAGAAATGATCCTTTCTTCGAAAGATGGATGCCACTTTCCTCATTCAACGTTCCTGAGGCTTGCAACATCCTGTCTCTCACATTACAATACCCACCATGGAACGCACAATGACGCATCGTGGGCCAACACCGCACTTTCTAAATGTGCAATGCGTCTGCCCTTGCCTGACAAGAAGTGGCTTGTACTCCGGTACATGAAGTGTGGTATCGGCCTGCGTGTGGAAGCGAATAGTCTGCGCTATAAGTTCCGTGAAGGCCATGGTGTTGCTGTTCTGGACATGGTGCACAAGCAGTTAGAAAGCGTTCTCACACTGGCAAATAAACATCTCAAGTTGAAGGTGAGACATGAGAACATGTTGATGTCTGTCTTCTATCCTGTTCACTTCTTTCTATTGGTTGCCGTCAGTCTTCATTTTTTTGTCACAATTCCCTCCTCTTCTCTCCTAACCTCTCCTTTCTTCCCAACCCCTCACAAACACTTCCTCTAGTGTTCCCACTGTTGTTCTCGGCCTCACACATGCATTTCTTGAGTTGTGTTTCATTCGGGTCATTGGCTGTTTATCTATCATCATTAGAATTTCGTAGAGTAGTATATATTTTTGGGATGGGGGTGAGGCGAGGACTTGCCTTTCGATGAGTTCTGTTGAAACTGACTGATTGTCTGGTGTTGTGTTACTTGTGTGATCTGTTGATGTGTGGTGTTCAGGAGCTGGTGAAGTGTGGCTGTGGCACAATGAACCAACATGTACTATGTACCCTGCATGGTCGTGCTGAGTGCTGCAGGACAACGCCTGGCACAGCCGCAACAGCAGCAGCTCAGAGTAGAAGCAACGCCGCTGCCACTTGTTTCCACACGGTTGTTTCTGTGGAGCTTGGCAGTGTGCCCATGTGCCCAGCAGCTTACTACGAAGGTCACCATGCTGCCCAGAGCCTTCCAGAAGGTGCACTTCAATTTTGGAAGGCGTGGAAGCAAGTAAGAGATGATGTTTTGCCGCCGCTGAAACTTTTTTGTTGCATATCTGTATTGCTGTAAGCCAATGGAGGTAATTTTGGAGTGTCATATTGATAGCCTTTTCAATACGGAGTGTATTATCTATGCTGAGGAGCAGTGCCTGTGCTAGTACCATGGTTATTTGGATGTCTGCTTGTGACTGACAAAGACTAGAGCTGAAAGTAGTCATCAGCCGACAGCAATGCTCTCATTTGTCTGTGGTTAGTCAAGTTCACAATAATTATTGATAAATTGGACCATTGAATTCAAGTTGACTTACTGCTCTCTTTGTGTGTGTGTGTGTGTGCATGTCGGCGAGCGTGTGTGTGTGGGTGCGGGTGTGTGGGTGTGGGTGTGTGGGTGTGGGTGTGCTTGCTTGTGTTTGCTTGTGTCTGTATGTGCATTCACTTTGACAGAACGAGGAATACTGCATTGTTCTTGCATCTAATTCCTCGTCTTGCTCTCCCCAAGCACCAGCAACACTGGTAGCAGCAGCTGCAGCTCCAGCACGAGTAGCACCTTCAGCAGTATCAGCAGTGACATCACTGTTAGCAGCCTCTGCAGCAGCTTCCGCAGCAGTAGCATCTCCAATAGCAGCATCACTGTTCGCAGCAACAGCATCAGCACCTTCACCAGTATCATCAGCATCACCTTCAGTAGCATCACCTTCAGTAGCATCACCTTCAGTAGCATCACCTTCAGTAGCAGCACCTCCGGTAGCATCTGCAGCTGCATCAGCAATGACTACAGGTATGTATCTGACATGGTGTTCATAGTGTATTTTAGATACACATTTGACCAATTTAGCACAATAATAATTAATGATAAACAGTCACTTTTCCAGCGTCAGCACTTTGAATAGGACTAATGACTAGCTAGATCTTTGCCGGGAAAAGGTTTTTCTCATGAATGCCTCCAGGGCCTATTACTTACTGGAAATGGCTGTAAACACAGCCGACACGTCATAGAATTGCTATGGTGTCGCTGTCATATTTTGTCGCCCTGAAGCGAACATCGTCCGTGGAACAGGTGGAGGGGGGAGGGGGGGGGGGGGCGAAAATCATAACTTGGCCAGCAAACTGTGTTCATTTTGGAGGAGTGAGGGGTCCGTCCGAGTACGAAATGAACCATGTTCGTTTCAGTGGCGACAATATACTTCTGCAACAAACCGTGTGTGCGTGCCCACATGTGTGTGTGTGTGTGTGTGTGTGTGTGTGTGTGTTTGTGTGTGTGCCTGTGCATGTCTCTTGGCCACTCCAATGGCACGTCGTCTGTTGCCTTGCAGCAGGAGCCTGTACCAGTGTGGACAGTAGAAGCGGTGGTCACGGTGCTCGTGGAAGCGGTCATCACAGCGCTGGTGGAAGCGGTGTTCACGACGCTGAATTCATGTCACTTGGTGCCATTGGGTTAGTGAAGGCTTTCCTCGCAGGTTTATATAAATAGGTCAAATACGTCGCCTTGGAGCTGACCAATCAGCCGCTTTCATTAACGAAGCGTTCAGGGTAATGGAAACACTGACAATACGCTGCCTGCATATTTAGCGAGGGGATCTGTTTGATGACATAATGCTGCATCGCATTTCCAGGCTCTACTGTCCACGGGGGGGGGGGGGGCAGGCACTCTCCACGTGGGGGGGGGGGGGCAGGCACTGTCCACTGGGGGGGGGGGGGGGGGGGGGGTAGGCACACTATTGTCCACTGGGGGGGGGGGGGGGACTCTACCGTGTCCACTGGGGGGGGGGGGGGGGGGGGCTCTACCGTGTCCACTGGGGGGGGGGGGCTCTCCTGTCCACCGAGGGAGGCTCTTCTGTTTCGACCCTACATAGAACGTGGACCTGTTTCTAGTTTTTTCGTTTTGTTTTGTGCTTTTTTGTTCTGTATGCCACTCTGCCCTGCAGTGGAAAGACACTTGATCAGATTGCCGACTGGCATGCGTTTGTTAGCTCGATTGAACCGTTCATCGGTGGAGAGGAGGAAGGCGACGAGAGAGGTTGGTTGCTTTTGGACACCGTGATTCATGTGTATTTCAATAATGCCGGGTGGTGAATATATTTTCTCCAGCAAGGACACGGCAGAGTTTTAGCCGTGTGTATGTAGCGAATTATGAGTAAACGTAGTTTGAAGTAGTTCTAGGGTCAATCAACCTTATTCTCTCGGAGTGTAGGAGCCATTCGATTGCGGGCGATTTTCAGAGAAAATGAGCGTGAGGCTGGTGGCCTAAATTTCCTTTGTATTTGAACATTCTCGGTGACGTCCGAATATACTAATGGTGCGGTTCAACCAGGTGAAAATATTTTCAGAGCCAGTGAGTTCCCCTGAGCTGCTTGAATTGTTTTGCAATACCCTCTTGTCACTGTATGCACGTGTATGTGTAGACTTTGATGAGGAGGTGATGTCCTTGTACATTGGTTTTCAGTGGCGTGTCCAGGATTTGGCTGGGGGGGGGGGGGGGGTGCGGCCGGGATGGGGTGGGGGTAGATGACATCATGCTACTGTCCCAGGTCAGCCATTTAGAAAACCGATGTCAAGGAGCCGTAAATCTCACACACCACGAGCAGTATTTACGCAGCAACATTGTACATTGGGCCACCCAGAATTAATTCGTTGTTTCGGGTCACCCGACTGACCGTCTTTTCTTCACCCGACCGCAATTTTTTTATAGTGCATGCAAATGTACTATCATGTACATGACTAGACTATGTACAACATGGTACACACACGACCCTAATAATAGCAGTCCAGACATCGACCTCAGAAGCAGCCAAATGACAGGATGCAGCGCTTGGTGACGATCTTGTCTTCTATCTCCGATCCGCAATCGGTCCTGAAACAGCATCAGCTCCACCACCGCGTCGCTCATTGACAGAAGTTTTCAAGTTGAGAGCTGCTCGTCAGACTCGTTTGCCAGCGAGGCCAAGATCTGGTCCTGGAGGGGACCTGGATCTGATGGGACAATGGCTGCGCTGGATCGTCCACAGTCAGATTTGATCGACTGACTTGATGGACAGAAGCTATTCGATATGTACAACTGCACAATCATGTATGCACATGGCCGTTACCAAAATAAAAAATAAAATAAAAAATAAACCCGACCGACCGACCCTGGCCTTGTACAGTTCAAATAATTTAATTTGCCGTTATATGAGCGAATCAACTGCAATTTATGCGAGTCCAACAATTTCTCACCGCTCAAAGCATCCTTTACATAGGCAGTGGTACTACAGTGCTGGAAACTGAAATCCGACCCCCTGTCACCCCCTGGGCCACTTCATCACTACCACTGTTTCCTGTTGGAGTGGCAGCAGGAGTTGTGCCGCCCCAGGAACGCTTTGCAAAAAATCCATCCAGCCTCTGCTGGCTAGAGCTTGGCCTTTTGGGATGTCGCTGAGACATCGAAGAAAAGTCTTCGAGTCAACCAAAACACGATTCGAACGAGGATGATCGCCTGAGCTATCGGCATTCGAATCGTGTTTTGGTTGACTGGAAGACTTTTCTTCGATGTTTGTACGTTGAAGACGCGTCAAGCGCGTCCCAGCAGGGATCACACTGTACAACAGTACAGTGTACACACTCAGGTCACCGACCGTGCAGCGTGTTTCTGTAGCCGGCCGTGCATGCTCACTGTACTCTGTAGACTGTGCATGTGGTGTGGACAATCAACACCAGCTCGAGCACCGACGTCCGTAGCGTGCAACCGCTTTTGGACGGTCCATCTGATCGTTTCAGGCCGCGCGCACCCCCAGCCTAGTCTAGCTAGCCCTGCGCCCTGTCTTCTATTTTTCGAAACCTAGGTCGAAACTTTTAGGGGGGGGGGGCACCCCCCCCCCCCCCCTAAACCCGCCACTGGTTTTTAACCAGTGTTCCTATTGAAGTCATGTCCCCTAAGAGTGGTTTGTTTGTTCGTTTGTTTAGCTTTATTTTACTTCACCAGAAGCACAGGCAAAATCTGCCTTCTCACTGGGCGTATTGCCACAGTTCTCGCAAAATGATGAAGGTGGTGGTATAAGAAAAGGAAGAAGAGGAAAATACAATCATGAACAAGGCACAAAGAGAAGACGGAAACAAATCAATGAGGGAGTGGTACTGACTCCCGAGTACATTTTTTGGTTTTATTGCCACGACTTGCCTTGGCAACCCATCAAGTGCAGCATCAGCTGCAATGGTTATACGTAACCAAGTCGACTCCACTGCTTGATGCAGGTTGTTGTCAACTTGTTGTGTGCACTGGTGTTCTACCTCTGTGGTTCATGACTGGGGAACGGATAAGCACACCTCCGCAATCTTTTAACCCTTTTTACCGGCAGCACCGCACTTGAATGAGTCGTAAACGACGCATTCGACAGGCATACTAAAACCATAGCTGGTATGACAGGAAGCATGAGCCCAGTACCAGTACCAGTATCAGTACCAGTATCAGTACCAGTACCAGTACCAGTACCAGTACCAGTACCAGTATCAGTACCAGTACCAGTACCAGTACCAGTACCAGTACCAGTATCAGTACCAGTATCAGTATCAGTATCAGTATCAGTATCAGTATCAGTACCAGTACCAGTACCAGTACCAGTACCAGTACCAGTACCAGTATCAGTATCAGTATCAGTATCAGTATCAGTATCAGTACCAGTACCAGTACCAGTACCAGTATCAGTATCAGTACCAGTACCAGTACCAGTATCAGTATCAGTATCAGTATCAGTACCAGTATCAGTACCAGTATCAGTATCAGTACCAGTACCAGTATCAGTACCAGTATCAGTATCAGTACCAGTACCAGTACCAGTATCAGTACCAGTATCAGTATCAGTACCAGTACCAGTACCAGTACCAGTATCAGTATCAGTACCAGTATCAGTACCAGTATCAGTACCAGTACCAGTACCAGTATCAGTATCAGTACCAGTATCAGTACCAGTATCAGTACCAGTACCAGTACCAGTACCAGTATCAGTACCAGTACCAGTACCAGTACCAGTATCAGTACCAGTACCAGTACCAGTACCAGTACCAGTATCAGTACCAGTACCAGTACCAGTACCAGTACCAGTACCAGTATCAGTACCAGTATCAGTATCAGTATCAGTATCAGTATCAGTATCAGTACCAGTACCAGTACCAGTACCAGTACCAGTATCAGTATCAGTATCAGTATCAGTATCAGTATCAGTACCAGTACCAGTACCAGTACCAGTATCAGTATCAGTACCAGTACCAGTACCAGTATCAGTATCAGTATCAGTATCAGTACCAGTATCAGTACCAGTATCAGTATCAGTACCAGTACCAGTATCAGTACCAGTATCAGTATCAGTACCAGTACCAGTACCAGTATCAGTACCAGTATCAGTATCAGTACCAGTACCAGTACCAGTACCAGTATCAGTATCAGTACCAGTATCAGTACCAGTATCAGTACCAGTACCAGTACCAGTATCAGTATCAGTACCAGTACCAGTATCAGTACCAGTATCAGTATCAGTATCAGTATCAGTATCAGTATCAGTACCAGTATCAGTATCAGTACCAGTACCAGTACCAGTATCAGTACCAGTACCAGTACCAGTACCAGTACCAGTACCAGTATCAGTACCAGTACCAGTACCAGTACCAGTATCAGTACCAGTACCAGTACCAGTATCAGTATCAGTATCAGTATCAGTATCAGTACCAGTATCAGTATCAGTACCAGTACCAGTATCAGTATCAGTATCAGTATCAGTACCAGTATCAGTACCAGTACCAGTACCAGTACCAGTATCAGTACCAGTATCAGTACCAGTACCAGTACCAGTATCAGTACCAGTATCAGTACCAGTACCAGTACCAGTACCAGTACCAGTACCAGTACCAGTACCAGTACCAGTACCAGTATCAGTACCAGTATCAGTATCAGTATCAGTACCAGTATCAGTATCAGTACCAGTACCAGTACCAGTACCAGTATCAGTATCAGTACCAGTATCAGTACCAGTACCAGTACCAGTACCAGTATCAGTACCAGTACCAGTATCAGTATCAGTATCAGTACCAGTACCAGTACCAGTACCAGTACCAGTACCAGTATCAGTACCAGTATCAGTACCAGTACCAGTACCAGTATCAGTACCAGTATCAGTACCAGTATCAGTATCAGTACCAGTATCAGTATCAGTATCAGTACCAGTATCAGTACCAGTACCAGTACCAGTACCAGTACCAGTACCAGTATCAGTACCAGTATCAGTACCAGTACCAGTACCAGTATCAGTACCAGTATCAGTACCAGTATCAGTACCAGTACCAGTATCAGTATCAGTATCAGTATCAGTACCAGTACCAGTATCAGTATCAGTATCAGTACCAGTATCAGTACCAGTACCAGTACCAGTATCAGTACCAGTATCAGTACCAGTATCAGTATCAGTATCAGTATCAGTATCAGTACCAGTATCAGTACCAGTACCAGTATCAGTACCAGTACCAGTACCAGTATCAGTACCAGTATCAGTACCAGTATCAGTATCAGTATCAGTACCAGTATCAGTACCAGTATCAGTATCAGTATCAGTACCAGTATCAGTACCAGTACCAGTATCAGTACCAGTACCAGTACCAGTACCAGTATCAGTACCAGTATCAGTATCAGTACCAGTACCAGTACCAGTACCAGTATCAGTATCAGTACCAGTATCAGTACCAGTACCAGTACCAGTACCAGTATCAGTATCAGTACCAGTATCAGTATCAGTATCAGTACCAGTATCAGTATCAGTACCAGTACCAGTACCAGTACCAGTATCAGTATCAGTACCAGTATCAGTACCAGTACCAGTACCAGTACCAGTATCAGTACCAGTATCAGTACCAGTATCAGTATCAGTACCAGTACCAGTATCAGTATCAGTATCAGTATCAGTACCAGTACCAGTATCAGTATCAGTATCAGTACCAGTATCAGTACCAGTACCAGTACCAGTATCAGTACCAGTATCAGTACCAGTATCAGTATCAGTATCAGTATCAGTATCAGTACCAGTATCAGTACCAGTACCAGTATCAGTACCAGTACCAGTACCAGTATCAGTACCAGTATCAGTACCAGTATCAGTATCAGTATCAGTACCAGTATCAGTACCAGTATCAGTATCAGTATCAGTACCAGTATCAGTACCAGTACCAGTATCAGTACCAGTACCAGTACCAGTACCAGTACCAGTACCAGTATCAGTACCAGTATCAGTATCAGTATCAGTACCAGTACCAGTATCAGTACCAGTATCAGTACCAGTACCAGTACCAGTACCAGTATCAGTACCAGTACCAGTACCAGTATCAGTATCAGTATCAGTACCAGTACCAGTACCAGTACCAGTACCAGTACCAGTACCAGTACCAGTATCAGTACCAGTATCAGTACCAGTATCAGTACCAGTATCAGTATCAGTATCAGTATCAGTATCAGTACCAGTACCAGTATCAGTATCAGTACCAGTACCAGTACCAGTACCAGTACCAGTACCAGTATCAGTACCAGTATCAGTATCAGTATCAGTATCAGTATCAGTACCAGTACCAGTATCAGTACCAGTATCAGTATCAGTATCAGTACCAGTACCAGTATCAGTATCAGTATCAGTATCAGTACCAGTACCAGTACCAGTACCAGTATCAGTACCAGTACCAGTACCAGTACCAGTACCAGTATCAGTACCAGTATCAGTACCAGTATCAGTACCAGTATCAGTATCAGTATCAGTATCAGTATCAGTACCAGTACCAGTATCAGTATCAGTACCAGTACCAGTACCAGTACCAGTACCAGTACCAGTATCAGTACCAGTATCAGTATCAGTATCAGTATCAGTATCAGTACCAGTACCAGTATCAGTACCAGTATCAGTATCAGTATCAGTACCAGTACCAGTACCAGTATCAGTACCAGTATCAGTACCAGTACCAGTACCAGTACCAGTATCAGTACCAGTACCAGTACCAGTACCAGTACCAGTACCAGTATCAGTACCAGTACCAGTACCAGTATCAGTACCAGTATCAGTATCAGTACCAGTACCAGTATCAGTATCAGTATCAGTATCAGTACCAGTACCAGTATCAGTATCAGTATCAGTACCAGTACCAGTACCAGTACCAGTATCAGTACCAGTATCAGTACCAGTATCAGTATCAGTATCAGTATCAGTATCAGTACCAGTATCAGTACCAGTACCAGTATCAGTATCAGTACCAGTACCAGTACCAGTACCCGTATCAGTACCAGTACCAGTATCAGTACCAGTACCAGTACCAGTATCAGTACCAGTATCAGTACCAGTATCAGTATCAGTATCAGTACCAGTATCAGTACCAGTATCAGTATCAGTATCAGTACCAGTACCAGTACCAGTATCAGTATCAGTACCAGTATCAGTACCAGTATCAGTACCAGTACCAGTACCAGTACCAGTACCAGTATCAGTACCAGTATCAGTATCAGTATCAGTACCAGTACCAGTATCAGTACCAGTATCAGTACCAGTACCAGTACCAGTACCAGTATCAGTATCAGTACCAGTACCAGTACCAGTACCAGTATCAGTACCAGTACCAGTACCAGTACCAGTACCAGTATCAGTACCAGTACCAGTATCAGTACCAGTATCAGTATCAGTACCAGTACCAGTATCAGTATCAGTATCAGTATCAGTACCAGTACCAGTATCAGTATCAGTACCAGTATCAGTACCAGTATCAGTACCAGTATCAGTACCAGTATCAGTACCAGTATCAGTACCAGTACCAGTATCAGTACCAGTATCAGTACCAGTATCAGTATCAGTATCAGTATCAGTATCAGTATCAGTATCAGTACCAGTACCAGTACCAGTATCAGTATCAGTACCAGACTTCCAAGAAAACATAACTTGAACATACAACATGTGGCCTCGTTGTGAGTTATTGGCATCCTTCTCAATCTTATGGATTTCATATACAAAATACACTTGCCGGTAAAGGGTTAATTATGTTTACGTTAAATGAAGCTGTATAGAAGTCGGTTGCTCCCACACTGCAGCGCTATTCACGTCGACCTGACTTGACCCTTGACTGACTCACGGTTGACTGTTTCAGTGTGGGAGCAACTAACTTTCTTTTACGATTATCGCCGAGGTCGCTACCACGCTTTCATGTTAAATGAAACTCATTGTTCTTTTAAATGAAGCTGGTTGTTCTTCAGTGTAGCACATGCATCCCCACAATCCACACCGGTCCAAATGAACACTAGGACATTTTAGAAACGAACGTTTTCATTCCCTTCCCTTCATGGGCTCTTACAGGGAATAAAGCAAAAATAACTAAGACAGCAATTCTATGGGCACAGAAGTGAGGGAGATAAACATCACACTACAAGTGTGAAAAGTCAGCAGATCAAAAACAGTGTCATTGTTCTTTTCTGCCCTTTCTTCTGGTGATGTTGTAGCAAACTGCGGTAAGGCGGCTGTGCAGCTAGTGGCTCCAGAATACACAAACTACTACCGCAACGTGCTAAAGTCGTTTCACGAAATGAAGAAAGGCAACATCGGAGGCCCAGGCAAAGGAGAGAACAACCTCTTCTGTATCCTGTTGTATCTGATGCAACGTCCGAGCACAACCGTCCAAGAGCTGTTTAACCTGCTGGCTGATAATGCCAAGCATAGTCGGCGCCGTCTTTTCAGGGCAATCAAGTGAGTTGCAGGCTGAGTGTGTGTGTGTGTGTGTGTGTGTGTGTGTGTGTGTGTGTGTGTGTGTGTGTGTGTGTGTGTGTGTGTGTGTGTGTGTGTGTGTGCATGTGTGTGTGTGTGGGGGGGGGGATAGTTTAGTGATCTGCAGTGGAAGAAGGTTCAGGCATCAGATCATGTTACCATGGTTTCAGCACACCTGTGTATAAATAACACCTATGTATAAAAATATCACCTGTCTTTTAAATTAAGACCCCCTTCGAATAAAGACCCCCTTCGAATAAAGACCCCCTTCGAATAAAGACCCCCTTCGAATAAAGACCCCGTCAGGCGAAATTACTGGTCAGTCGGCGTCACGCATTTTTTCACAAAAAATTGCGTTTCACCTGCTGGGAAAGTATGCGTGTACTCGAGTCTCATCCTGAGCACGTTTTTTTCTTCTTTTTTTCAGCTCCAGTATAGCTGTATTTTTTCATTGCAAAGCCGTCCTCGATTGTTGTGTTCGTTGTTCAAACGAAGTGGACATTCAATCATGAAGGCAGAGGACATAGGAGCCTGATTGGAGTTTCTCGTGGCATAGGACGCCCACACCGAGACACTTTGGGATTTTCTGAATATAAAATACCGTACGCACGATGCTGAGATCAATTTGTGCGATATCAAATTGTTTGTGATCTACCACATCGAGCAGAACGGGATCCAAACACAAGCTTACCGACGGTTAGGCTGCCGACCTGACTGGACAAATGATCCCTGGCTTCACCAGACGCCAGACGTCGGACACCATGTCCTTTGCCGCGACGTCCATCTCCAAAAAGAACTCAATCTTCGTTGTGAAAAGGCTTGAAATACTCAATATTCAACCGAGATTCGCAGTCTCACCCTTTCTCAGATCGAATCATTTTTTGTTGTAGCAGTTGCAGGGCAGATCCCCACAACTACTTCAACAGAAGATGGCTCCAAAGCATGCCTGGAACAAGCCATATCGAGGTTGCAAGCCACCTCTCTCAGCACTTTTTTTGAAGAAATTCGAAATTTCAATGGTGGAAGATATACTATGAAGAGAATTTCAAAAAGTATATTTCGCGGAGCGATCGCTCAACCTACGTCATTCAAACTTTGCAGGATGGTTCAGACGTACATGCTAGGCATGGAACCACAGAAGATGATATCATAGCTGACACACAGAGTCACACACACAGCAAATTCGTGTGCACAGATACTAAATTAGTGGACGTCGTCATCTTCTTCCCGCTGATCTCAAATGTACGATGACGTGCTATTTCGCCTGACGCCTTTTAATAAAGACCCCCTTCGAATAAAGACCCCCTTCGAATAAAGACCCTCTTTGAATAAAGGCCCCTTCGAATGAAGACCCCCTTCGAATAAAGACCCCCTTCGAATAAAGACCACCTATGTATAATGACCACCTTCATGTATTTATAAAGATCACCTGATGAGTGCCTGAGATGGCATGAAACTTTAAGTTGTGACTGATCAAGCCATCTGTTGTTCTGACTAGTGTGTCACGGCTCTACCTTCCCGGTATCGAGCTCTCTTGGATTTCTGCTGGAATTCACAACAGTGTGTAAAGATTACCTATGTATACACTATAAAGACCACCTGTGTGCTTGAGAACGTTGGTGCGTTTCGAGATATCAAAATTTGGCGGGCAAAAAAAAACAAGCCATTCAAGCTTTGCACTCGATGTCTGTTGTGACCGCTCGACAGGGAGCACACAAGCCAGCTGAGCACCAGCGATAACAAGCCCAAAGTGGCTTGTTTGGGTGTGACCGCGGCGGCCTTAAGACCACTTGTGTATAAAGATCCATTAATGGTAAAAATGATCACCTGTATGTAAAGGGTACGGTGTATACGGGTATCAGTGGTCTCTGCACCTTCAGGTGAAGGGTGGGTTGGTTTGGGTTTGGGGTGGTGGGGGGATTGTTGTTCACTGAACCACAGATCTTGCTGTGTTCAAGCTAAGTTGCTAAATACTTGACAATCAAAACATCTGATAATTGGCCTAATACTGTAGAACGTATAGTTTTTAACGGGTAAAGAAATTAGCATTCTCTGAATCAGGACCAATTGACAATGAAATATGTTAGTGACCCGAGTTTCAGAGTTTTAAGAAAAAGAAGATGACTACTACTGTACTGTAGTACCTGCTAAATTTCAATTGACGCGGCAAAACTTTAGCGAAAACACTCCTTTCGTTAAAATCACTAAAATATCACCTGCGCTTAAATTGGACTTGGATGGAGAGCCAAGAATTAATTTATAAAAAATAAAACGACCAAGGAACTACAAGTTACGCTATGATGTCCACTAACACCACCAGTTACTAAACAATCAGCTCATGCGATAACATAGCATGACATGGACCTACGGTACTGACGCTATAATTAGCCATTTTACCATTTTTCAGTAACAAGTGAACTGTTGAGCTACAAGAAAAGTTAGCCTAGTTCTATTAGAAACGTGTGTGTGTGTTGCTGTGCTCCGTCTCTGTCTTTCGTCCGGGTCTTTGCTCATCCATTGTGCACTGTACCATGACAATGAGAAGTTCACTCTGCCGCTGTTTGACCTGTATCGTGTTTGTTTGCCAGGAATGCCGAGTACTTGAAACAATAAGCAGGAGATGAGGCCTTGTCCAGAGATGGCAGGGGGGGGGGCAAGCGTCTGCTCTCCGACCCCCAGCCGCTCAGTGCCTCGGCCGGAGCGGATTAGCAGCCTGGCCGCCCTCCGGGCAGCGTCGTGGAGCCTGATGTCTTTTGACCGGAGCGTTCGTACTAGGCATCATGGGCGCTGTGTGTTTTCATTGCCAGTTGGCATGTGTTGCTGTGATCAGCTCGTGTCATTTTCCTTCATCATGAATTTACACATAGCAGTGATGTTTCTAATGTCTTGAAGTACACTAGAAACTCACATGCTATTTTACTTTGAATTGCAGTTCGTAAATTTTGAAAATAATAAACTATCAATTTTCAATCCATGTCAGACAATCAGGGAAGTTTTTGAAGCTCCTCTCATTCCCGCCATTAATGTAATAAGAATATTAAAATTTCAAGACACGCTTGCGTGAGCCTTTACTGAAACTTGACTAACGATATTGAGATCACCATGTCTCTGTGCGTTGAGCCAATCCACATTGATTTCATAGAAGCCTAACCTATATCTTTGCAGACTTGATTTTTGTATCCAAATTCAAGACTGAAGATCTCACCAGAACTTAGTAGCAGAATGCGGTTAATTAATGCGTTGAAATAGGCTGGGAATTTCTCGGTTCTATGCTAGTAAATACAAATGGCATTGCCTTACTCTTTTTGCTGTCATCGGCTCACTGCTGATGAGATATAACAAGGTGGAAACAGCTGGCTGTCTGAGATTTGAGTATGTTTTGTTTGTTTTTTTAAATTGTTGAACACCTCCCTTTGGTGTCCCAGCAGCTGAGACTGCTGTTATCACCACCATGTCTTCACCTATCCACCTCCCTTTGGTGTCCCAGCAGCTGAGACTGCTGTTATCACCACCATGTCTTCACCCATCCACCTCCCTTTGGTGTCCCAGCAGCTGAGACTGCTGTTATCACCACCATGTCTTCACCCATCCACCTCCCTTTGGTGTCCCAGCAGCTGAGACTGCTGTTATCACCACCATGTCTTCACCCATCCACCTCCAATTCTAATTGCAACGCTTTACTATTTTAAAAACACTCAATCACTGTGTGACGTCATTGTTGATGTTCCCGGCTATCATTGCTGTACTCTTCTCTGGCCCCTGTGTCTGTTGCAGCCATGATCACTGCATGCTGCCCCTTACCACCATTTTCAGCCTAGCATCTGCTACTGTCGTACTGATACTATAGTGTGTTTCAAAAGTATAGACCTCTAGACTTTTTTGAATAATTCAAATTTGTTTGAGTTTTTGAGAAATTTCTTCGGAATACATGTGTCGTGGCTGGCTGATCGTCCCTATGTGTTAGTTATCCCAAGCCCGTTTGCACAAAGTATATGTGCGCAGCTCTTGGTAGTTCCACTCAGGCGTACCTCAGACCCAAAGCACAGAGAGAAGTCAGGGTGGCGGAGCCCTCAGGTCCGATAGTAAAGGAACAGAGGAACAGTAAGAAACTACAAAGTCAAAGGCCACACAGGCTCAAGCGGACAAGTCCGCTTGAGCGGTAGCGGAACTCCTATAAAGAAAGTCTAGAAAGCTATTATAAGAATAAGACTAATACAAGACTCATACAAGACTAATCGATATCTGGCTAAGTCAGCGAACTTATACTAGCTGAAATCTATGCGAGCGGCCACGAAGGGAAGGATCGAGCAGGCAGCAGCGAACGAGTAGTGAGCTGTGCTAAACTCAGCAAAGAGTGATGTATCTAAGTATTGAAGCTAATGCTAATCATGAATCGGAGCAACTAAGCGGAACAGCAGAACAGCGGACCGGCAACAGAGACAATAGCTGACAGTTCTATGGTAATGGATAGTCTAGGTCCGGCGACAGGAGAGGTAACCCTATCCCAATCAAAAGGAAGAGAACATTGATGAAGAGCCGCGGTAGAGGTAGGTGACAGGCTGATAATGAATGTGTGCAGCACTACTAATACTATAGTATTGGTGAGTAGTACTATCTATACAGGGCCATTACACATGTATTACTCAGGCAGCTCACACAATAACGGTCACGTGATCCGAGACGGGGCATCCTCTTCGATTTTTGTGCAGAGTATCAGTTGTTGAGCATGGTGGAACACTGTATTTTTCCATTTTGGAGATGGAGGAGAGAGTGTCGAGTGGTTTGCCATCGATGGCTGTGGAACCCGTGGACGAACTGTCAAATGAAGAATGGTCTGTGAAGGAACTGAACAGTTTTCTGCTGAATGATGGTGCGTATCTGTCTGGAAAAAGAAGGAGTTGTTGGAGAGGTAAGTTTTCCGCATTCAGTGGATATTTCGGATTACTGTAGATTGAAATTTCTTTTTCTTTTCTCTACCTTCTCTCCCCTGTCGATGTAGTGAACACTTCTCTATGCAGAACCCTGATGCTCCTAGAACTAAGAAGGGCACCACTTCCTCGAGTCTGTCCCCGGGGAAAATTGCGGAAAAAAAATCGCAAAAAACGCGGGGAAAAACGCGGCATAATATGGCATAATTTGCGGTAAATATGCGGTAAATATGCGGTGACTAATATTGATGTGCGGCAATTTTCAGTGAGTTTGTAGTGAAATCAATCAGTTACAAGTCTCTGGTGTAAGCATTCGTCATATTTGAGTAAAAAGCCGCCACGATGAGACGTTGCTGACCGAACAGTGCACTGTGTGTACGTGTACGGTGTAGAGTAACAAAAAAGTTCAAAAAACGCGGGAAAATCGCGGAAAACGCGATCTTTTAAAAAATCGCAAAAAACGCGGAAAAAAATGCGGCCGCGGAATTGCAATTTTCCCCGGGGACAGTCGAGTGTACCTTCATCATGCCCAACATTTCATGCGTCCCAGTGGATGAGTGATGAACCTCTGTTTCCCAGAGTGAGTGCCACAGCATGCTTGCTCGTCTCCAACTCAGGGACAAGTCGCCGACGACAGTGAAGAGGGAGCTGATGGAGTAGTACAAGTGAACAGGCCCGTGGATAGTGTCCATGAGTTTTACTTTGGTGGCTATGTGCATAATGTGAAAGTCTGTCATATCGTGCACACAGCCACAGCTCGAACTCAGATGACTTTCTCCGCACACCTGAGCGACGAGGCAGAGTCTCTCTCCACTTCAACATCAGCAGCTCGAGCAGCGCCAGCAAGCAGTCGATCTTCCAATAGCGAAGACAGGGATGGGTCATGCCTTTTTCCCAAGCTCCAGAGTCTCTTGGCAGGGCGTTCCATATCTTCGCAAAAGCAAGGATGAAAGTCGTCTAGGATAAAGTGTTCCGAGCACAACACTGTGAACGATATCGCAGCACTGCGGCCCTCTTCTCGCCAGATAGCCAGGATTCCAGAGTGTGGAATGCCAGCATCACCAGGGAACGCATGGAAAGACAAGTGGGTTCCTTACACTAACGTTAGGGATGACGGTTGCTGCAAACAAGAACCCAACAGTGGTCCTTGGAAAGCGTTTCAACTTCTTCCTTCACTTCAGAACTAAAAAAACTTCAAATGAAAAAGGCGGCGGAGTACATACATGAACATGATCATCGCGTCGGGACCGTGAAAACACAGCCTGTCACAGGAAACTTGATCACGTCCTGCAGCAAACCACGCATGCTGGTTGCATGCCAAGTGTGCAGCGCGTGCACAGCATGCCCCGTCTCGACCCCTCTCGCTTATTGTGCAAAGGGTCTATTTTTCTCATCTAAATTTCTAAGCGATTGGATAACAGACACCCAATTTCGAAAATGTTATGCACAACGTGATCACAGATTTTATGTGGTATAGTTGCTGTCCTAACGGTTTTTTGAAACCAGAGCCAGAGGTCTGGACTTTTGAAACGCACTATGCTCGAGTTTGGATCTACATGTTCAATGACAACAGAATCTGATACAATGTAGACCAGGTTACCAGGGTTACCAGCGTTACCAAGGGTACTAGGACTAAAGGGACCGTCACCTAATTTTTTGCTGACTACCCGCCAAATCTTTTCGTTTCACGTGTAAGAAACGTCCGCGTACCTCGCTACCTTTCATGTCAAGCTATCGGGTGGTGTTCATACTGGAAATCGATGATGCCACACCAAAGATATACTAAGTATTATTATAATTATACAAGTAAATCAATGATCATTTTCACTGTTAGGAGATCCCCCCGATAGGCTATGCCTTTGGGAAATCCTTTAAATAATAAATATCAAAGGATAACTGCGTATTAGTTTTGCCAATGTTTCTGTTCTTGGAGATGGCAATGTTGCGTATTCTTCCCGCAATGAATTATATACTCAGAATGCTATCGTGTTTCCATGGTATACTAAAACATAATAGCAAATGAGTTTGTGTCCATGGTATACTAAAACACAATAGCAAATGAGTTTGTGTCCATGGAATACTAAAACACAATAGCAAATGAGTTTGTGTCCATGGTACACTAAAACACAATAACGGTTATGCGCGGTGCAGCTAACGAAATGGATGAACGGACGACGGCCTGAGCGTTCTTCCTGGGTGAACACTGGCGTTCTCCTTCCTGGGTGAACACTGGCAGCCACCATACACCATGCTTGATGTTTCAAGCACCATAGGCATAGGCGCAGGCCACGTTTTTCGGCACCGACGATTAGTTCGTCCACCAACAGTCTAAACAAATGTCTCTTACTTCAACACCCCGTAGAGCTGCCGCTGTTGTGCCAAGGCCCATTGGCGCATGGTGTGTATACTCCAAATCTACATGACATTGTATGATGATGGGTAATTGCAGACGTTTGTGCTCTTGGACAGTGCAACGCTGCGTGAAGATAAGCTGTGGCTCCACGGTTGCTCAAAACGCTAGTGTGGTTCCATGGAATACTAAAACACAATAGGCGCGGCGCAGCTAACGCCCACTTGGATGAATCGGACGGCAGTAGTGGCGAGTCCGTTCTCCTTCCTCGGTGAACACTGCTGGACACCCTGTTTGATGATCCACCAAACACCATCGGTGCAAGCCACGTTTTTCGGCACCAGCGATACGTTCGTCCACCAATAATTGAAATTAATTTTTCTCACTTGAACACTCTGTAGAGCTGTCGCTGTCGTGACAAGGCCGTGTATACTCCAAATCATCTACATGTAGGATGAAGAGTAACTGCTGAAGTTTGCGCTCGTGGACAATGCAACGCTGTGCAAAGTAAGTTGTGGCTCCACACTCGCTCAGAATGCTAATGTGTGCCCATGGAATACTAAAACACAATAGGCGCGGTGCAGCTAACATCCACCGTGGATGAAACGGACAACAGCAGCAGCTAGAGCGTCCTCCTTTCTCGGTGAACACTGCTGCAAGAAATAATGCTTGATGATTCACCAAACACCATCGTTGGGGGCCTACTTTTCCGGCACCAACCGGAACGAGTTGTTCGTCCAGCAACTTTGAGTCTTTCTTCAACACTTCGTAGAGCAGCCGCGCAAGGCCTTTCCTTAATTCAGTTTAGGGTAGCGATCCTTCCTAGATCAGTAGATGCTATCGCCAATAAAAATGAAGTCAGCTACTCTCCCAACAGTAGCACTAGCAGCTCGCCTGGACTTGTGAAAAATAATTTTGCAAGTCTTCAGTAATAGTTTGCATGTACGCGCTGTAGCCAGCCATGTGGCGTGAACAGATTGCTTGACGTGAAAGGTAGCGAGGTAGGTAGGCGTGAAACGAAAAGATTTTTTTGATATGCGTGTTAAAACAAAATGGCGTCTCGATTTATTGAAAGCAGGGCACGGCTGTTAGCTGCACTTGGATCGCGGCAACTTAGTTTTCTGCACGTGAACCATGAAAAATCAATGCATGCTCATGCATGTTCATGCATAACCAGTCAGCTGGCCTGCTCGCCCACGCATTTGACAGGTAACAATTCCATCAAATTTGAGATATCGCTTCGTTCTAAGTCTCAAAACAGTTCTAAAGTCACCAAACCACGCTGGTAATCGATGGCTATTCAATGTTAACATCTTCAGGAAGACTTCAGCCGTTTCCCGAGAGTTTGGGCATCGTTGCCGTTATTTTTCACGGTGTTCTTCTTCGTCCTGTCTGGAGCCGCATCCTGGAATTATTTGAAGTAGACAATCATAGAGTTCTGGCAGGACTTTATGGCTGAATCAAGGCCGAGT